AATTAGTACAGGTGATTCATTACATATACTTTCATTTTCTTTTTATGTGCTTTTAACATTCTTCCATTAATTTTCTCTTTTTTTTATGATGAATGGTGTTTGTACAATGGAATTGCCTGCCCTACCCTGCATTTTCTGCTTCAATTGGAATCTAATAAGGGCAGAATATATATTTTTCCTTGTTTTCTGGACCACTACTTTGTCTTTTTATGAGATCTGGCTTACAGCAGGAAAATGGTGAATTAGAAAAGAAATGTAGGTCCAAATAAGGTTTGTAACTCCAACGTGTGCACGTTTCCAACTTTGGCTCATGGTCATTGGAGAGGGTTGATCTTTCAGCATTGGACTTATCTGGCAGTGAAACTTGTAATAAGTGATCAGTGCTCGAATCCGAATCAGTCCACTCTATTCTATTCAGATTTGGGTCGAGATGGAATTTGCTGGTTTTAGGGCGAGTCAGTTTTAGATTTAGAATTAAAAAACCAAATTTAACTCCACCTATCTATATATATCAATAATCTTTTTTTACTTTTTTTAATTAAAAATATATCTATAATTATTAGGATTAGAAATCTTTTGTATATGAGTGGTACCCTTTTTTTTGGCATCTTGCTAATATATACATCACATTTTTTATCTAAAAAAAAAAGTAGTCAGTGCTCAATGTTCTGACCAGAAAGGTAGAGATCTAGCCACGCTGATTCGACATCCCGATACGTGTTGTGCTGTGTTTCTGGAATTAGCTACTAGATTTGGTGGCTCAAACAGTCAGCGATGTTAAGTGCAGAGATGTTGGTTGTGTGAACTTCTTCCCGACATATATCAGACTTCCATGAGCTGATTGTTTTTGCTTTTATTTTGTGATTTTAGATTTTTATTATGTTCTGTTCGTTTCATTTTTTTGTTTTCTGTTTTCAATCATGCTGCTAAAGTTTTGAAGCATTCATTAGGACAGTAATTAGAAGAAAATTAGGGGATGATATTTGAACTCTTTTACCTTTTTCAATTAGATGGCTATGGAGACTGGTGAATGGAAGTAGCTAAAAGAAGCTAAGCTCTAGAGAGTTTTAGAGGATGCTTGGGATTTGCTTATTTCTAACTTTTGAGGGCCTTATTTTTTATTTAACTAATTTAATTAGATATGTTCCTGATATCCCTTTAAATTATCACAAAATATGTTGAATAATGCAAGTCATAAAATATTTTCGATTAAAATTTGTTTTTAGTAAATTCTCTTGTCAACAATTATATATATTTTTTTGCAATCAGCATCTGGTCCGAATGTTCAACTGCTTATTTTAAATAAGATTTTTATTTGTTTGAAGTGACTTAAAATACTTTGCTGCCTAAGCACATTTCTTCAGGCTCTTAGTACGCTAGGACCTATATCTCTATACTGCGTAGAAGAATGGACGAAAATAATGCTATGGTAGTACTCTTGTTCCAATGCTGAGTAAAATAGTATATGGTATTTATAGAGATACTTATGACAAGAATAAAAAAATGTCTTTATGGGAAAAATTAAATTTTCCTCTAACAGATACTAACCGATACTGCTTAATTGGTTGAGTGTTACTTATAAAAAAATTTCAAGAATTGACATCCAAGAACTTTTAGGCCCATTTAATATGCTATTTCTACATGTAGCCTTCATAATTATCTTCACAGTATATGATATCACTACTTCTAGTTATATATTAGTGTTGAACATGCACATCAAATTTCAAAGATCCTGAACCAACACCATTTTCATATGACATCGAACACACCAAAGTGTTAGCAATGTAGTTTAAACTGTTTGGAGCACTGAGCCTGCTCTATAAGTGAATTGATTCTAAGATTGTGTAGAATACAGGAAAAGGCGAGATTCTTTGGTTAGTTATTCAAATGTGGGTTCTGCAATCACTCCAGTGGAAAAAGGAATCCTGGTTTTGAGAAACATTTTTCTACTTTTTCTCATTTCTGTTTGCATTTCTGGTCCTTTCTTTTTATCTCTGAATCCTCGAATGTTGTGAAGAATTGATTGAAGTTGGTTGTCTGGAGTTACAAATTTTGGGTCTATATATTATATCTTAGGCTGGATGTGGTAGTATGAAAGCTTTTTTGGATCTTACCAAGCTATTTCTTTGGTCTCACAACTAGTAAAGGATGGAGCCCTATGCCTAAGAAAATGATAATTCAAATATTTATATAGCAAGTTTTAAGGATTTGAAAAATGATTTTTGGTTGTATATCATAATATGATAGAAGTTTTTCTGGTCAAAAATAATATATGTAGATGAAATTGATGTTTCACCAAAATGAGATCTTTGATTGGAAGAGGCTTCGATTTTCTCTAGTTATACCAATTCCTGATCTGAAAGTGAAGAAAAAGAAGAGACATTCTATTTTTTGTATTAAAGGGAACCTTTTTACTGGTTTCTTGTTCTGTCTACTTATTGGTGGATTTCTAATGTGAGTTCTACGTCATGATCTGCATTATGGAATGAAACCACATGTCAGATAGATCTTCCTTCACTCCTGCTTTTTATGAACAATTCAGATTTGGGATGGATCTGCATGAGTAAGCATTATGTGCTTCAGATGGAAGAGCTTTCCACGCCTAAATTTGACTTTATGAATTGTAAATGCACCTGGGAATTACAAACATACTTTGACAAAGTGGTGGCTGTTGCAAGGGATGAGATCAAGCATTCTTGAGAGGTGGGTCGAGTGTCATTTGCTTAATACATTTTTGTATGAACTACCAGGGAGTGGCTAACTGGATAGTGTTCCTTGGATAGAATTAATTTAGGAAAAGCACTATGATAGTCGTTGCAGTGATATTTTCATACTCTTTCTCTTTCTCTCTTCCCAATTCCTTTATTTCACTGTCTTTTTGTTGTTTCATGGTATCCTACAAAAAGATTGATCAATTTCAGTTTCAGTTTTCTTCCCGTTGGATATCAAACATAGATCCATTGTTATATCAGTTTTCTTCTGATTGAATGTCCTGTCATGTCTTTTGCTGACTAGCAATTTGTAAATTGCTTACGAGGTGGTACCCCCTTTTTGGTACTTGTTAATATACACGTTACTTTTTATTTTTTATTTTAAAAAAGTCTTTTACTGACTGGCAATAAATATAATAGCAGCATTATCTATTAAATGGCCTTTCTCCTTTTCCTCACTTGTTCCTCATGGCAGATGGTCTTCGAAAAGTTTGTTCTATGTTTAGCATCTGCAGTACCTAACATAATATATGATTTTGGTGTAAAATCTGTTTGGTGGCAATGCAATACGTTTAGCACTAATTATTTGACAGAGAAGCTGGTAAAATGGTTATTGTAAACTCTTTTTGTAGGGTTTAGGTAAGGTGGTCTTTAGAAGGTTTTCTCCAGTTACAGATCTGTGTTGTCTTGGATTTTTAGCATTATGTTCAATTTAGCTTCTTCAATGGGCTCTATGGCAGTGTCGTGATCTTTTGTTCTTGAGGCTAACTAGTTGCACTAGTGATTTGATCAGTCCAATAGCAAGAAAGGATGTCAGAAGACACATTGGAAGTTATCATCCAGACTGAGCAGGATTGTTATTTATGATAGACAGGAGATTGCACTTAAAATAAAGGCTAAGGGACATGAAGTTTGATTAGCATGATTTTTGAAGGAGGGACAATGGACTGTTATTTTATTCTATCGAGTCATTGCTGGGTTTACTGGACAATTTGAAAGTTTCTGGTGCTTGCTTGTTACTTCCAGAAGTTTTGAATAAGCACATATACTTGTCTGCACATGTACATATATTCTTTGGATTTGATTGCTTCACATTTGAATTCAGATGTTGCCTTTGGAGATTACTATTGGTTTTGGAATTAACATCCAGTGTTATGTGCATCTTGTTATATTATGGAGTGTGTTTCTAGATGTGGATGTTTTCCCTTCTGTTATTTCAAGATCTGAAATGAGCATAATTGAGATAGTGCAGATATCTGGAAATCCCTTATTTTGGGAACCATCCAACGAACTTTTAATTTTGGAAATTCTACTGCAGATATCTGGAAAACCAGATGTGGTTAAGAGAGCACTTTATGAAGTTTCCACTCGATTGCATCAGAATCCTCGCAAAGATAAACCTCCTTTAAATTTTTCTAAGCCTTATGGGGCCCAAAGTTTTCACCCTCCTGTGACAAACAAGCTTCCTCCTGCGAATCCAGTATGGTCTCATCGGAATTCTTCTTCTCATGGTATGCCACTGGTACCATTGATGGGGGCATACAGAGATCACCCTTCTGGAGTTGGGCCAGGTGGCTTTGATGCTTTTCCATCTGGACATGGTGGGGAAACTTCAGCTGAGTTTTCTATGAAAATCTTGTGCTCAGCTGCAAAAATTGGTGGTGTGATTGGCAAGGGAGGCTGTAATGTGAAACAGTTACAGCAGGAGACTGGAGCTAGCATTCATGTTGAGGATGCATCGACTGACTCTAATGAACGTGTAATTCGTGTTTCTGCTTTAGAGGTACGCATTTTATTAACCACATTCCGTCTTGTATGTTGTGATCCATATTGCACAGGACTATAAGAAACTCTTTTTAACAATTGAAATTGAGGGTTAGTTGAGTGGAGTTGTAAAAGAAATAGCAATTATAAGTTGTTTTTGCATTTTTTTTCTTTTTCCCCATATTCAGGCTCTCTGGAACTCAAGATCCCAAACCATTGAGGCAATTCTTCAGCTTCAGATCAAAGCAAGTGAATTGTTGGATAAAGATGCAATTATTACCAGGCTTCTTGTTCCATCTAGTAAAGTTGGCTGCCTCCTTGGGCAAGGAGGTAATGTCATCAATGAAATGAGAAGAAGAACTCAGGCTGATATTCGTGTCTGCTCTAAGGATGACAAGCTGAAGTTTGCCTCTGTAGATGAGGAGCTTGTACAGGTGACTTGGTTGTATGATGCATTCATAATAGGGTATACACTATTGTAATTAGGTTTGATTTCATTAGATTCCTAATGAGCTGATATTGTTATTTTCTCATCTTTAAGATGAACTGAGCTAATACTTTTTGGTCATTCAGATATCTGGAAATTTTGTTGTTGCTAAAGAAGCTCTGGCTGAAATTGCATCAAGACTTAGAATGAGAACCCTGCGAGATGCAAATACTGGATCAGAATCTAATCCTGTCCGGTCTGTTCATGGATTTGGCTCCATAGGAAGTTTACCAGCCAAGGAACCACCACCATCTGGTCCAATGCAAGGTGGCAACTCTGGTGGATATGAACATCTCTGGGTACTTATATTTTTCCAGTTTCCCGCCCTTGTTCATTGCGTCCTCTCCATAGGCAAATTTAACTGTTGAATTACCAGTATAACCTCCTGTATTTGTGATGAATTAACTAGTGGGTTCCTTTTTTTTTTTTCCTTTTTTTTAATAGTATGAATCCTATTAAATGATGATGCATGCTCTATTTTTCTCATTGAAGTAAATGCAAACTACAGCTTACTGCTTTGTATCTGTCTCCTTTGTAGGGAGTCTAAGAGATGACCTTTTGGCCCAAAGGATGTGGTATTATTAAGTTGGTGATTGCAATTGCTTATTTGCTGTTTATAGGAAGCTATTAATAACTTTCTTCTGATTTACCCATTTGGTAACATAAAAAGTAAGATGCATTTTAGGTTCTTAGAAGTGACTTTAAGCAGCAAAAGAAAAACAAAAAGGCATTCTGTTTCTAACTTGTTAGGTTTTTTTTTTTTTTCTAACCATTTTACTTAGTTATCCTTTTGAAGTCCTCATAAAAATTAACACTATATACATACATAATGGTTACAGTGTGTGTATAAAGTGTTTGTGATAAATGCATGCAATTTATTAAATAGTTAATTATAAAAAAGACTGCAATTAGTGCTTTATTTAAATGGGAAATGACTTATTTTTAAATAATAATCTACCTGGTTTAATGTAGGTATATCTATCTACTATATACCACTCAATTTCTCCTCCTTGTTTAGGATATTTATGGAGATTGTAGATAGATTGGAGGGATGCATGAGGAGATTCCTATGGGCAGGAGTGGAGGAGGAAAACCGAGACTATTTAGTTAGTTGGGATGTATGTTGCAAATCCAAGAGCTAGAGAGGTTTAGGAATTAGAAATCTTAGATCTAAGAACCTATCTTTATTGGCTAAATGATTTTGGGACTTACTTTGAGAACCATACTCTTTATGGCATAGAGTGATTAAAAATATCCATGGAAATAGTAGGGATCGATGGGATGCCCCGATAGGAAAGTCCATATCTCACCATAGTCCTTGGAAAGCCATCTCCCAAACACTTCCACTGTTTGTATCCCATACTTGACTCCAAGTGAGTGATGGACCTAAAATGAGATTTTGGAAAGACACCTTGGGTGAGAACAACCTTTAGCCACACAATTTTCCCACTTCTTTAATCTTTCTTCTAGACATAACACTTCGCTCTCTAAATTTATGGTAAATAGTGAGAAGAACATAGTTTGGATTTTTATTTCACCACAATCTATCTGAAAGAGAGGTCCTTGAAGTGCAAAACCTTTTGGCCCAGTTAGAATTGATTCACATTTTTTCTTGTTCTGGCACCAAAAATTGATCCTTGGATTCTCACTTCTTTTGATACTTTATTAACCACCCCAGATGACGCGTGAGGGTATGAGAAGGATCGAATCAACTCTTGTAACCTTCACAATGCATGCAATATAGAGACTTAACCGCCTAATTACCCTCCCCCCACCCCTCTAATTGAGAATACACCCACCTAAATGACATGCATAAACAAAGAAAAGGGAAATAAAAACGAGGAAAAGAAAGACGCAACGAACTTACCCGATAAGTCGATTCCAGTTTCTCGGCTCAACAAAATTTCAAAAAATTTTCTAGTTTGAAGAATTTGAAGACATTAAAAGAAATTAGTAGAGCTAATTCTTGAAGAAAGCAGAAGTTTCAAATTTTATTCTTCTCAATGTCTATTTACATCCTATGGAGAAAGAAAGAGTGGGTCGTGCTGGATGGTTGCGCGAGTCGCTCCTGTGTGGATGCGCGACTCAATGCACGGGTCGGCCTGAATGGACACGCATGTCGCATAGGGTCTCACGGGTCACGTGGATGGGCTGCCAGCGCGGACTGGGCCTGTGTGCGTGCTGGGCGCTGGGCGTGCGCCTGGCTTGCTATCCTGGGGACGTGTGCGCACTGGGTGTTCGCCTGCGCAGGGCCGTTGTTGGGCATGGGTTGGATACCTGGCCTACGATTCGGACACGCATGCAGCGTGCGCGCGCGCACGTGCTTGTGTGCATGCTTGTGTGCATGCAGGGCGTGCCTATGTCTGTCTGCACGCTCGGCGTGCTGTGCCGTGGGGCATACGTGCGTGGCTGTCTGTACGTCCTGGGACATCGGCCTTGCGGGTGGAATGTTGGCATGTGTGGAACCCACTCTTTGTTCGCATGAAAGGCTGCACATGCGTATCTCACGGGTATCCATGCCTAGATTACATCCTGGACTTCTCTTGGGCCGGGACTCGTAGGTCGAGTTGTTCCTTGGCTGTGAGGGCCATGGAGCTCCTTGTTCCCCGTTTCCTCGGGTGCCGTCTCCTCCTAGGTTGGGACCCTAAACTATTGAACTTTGATTTACCATTTGAGACTTGCACCGGGGTGGGTTCCATTTGGGAATTCTTGCTTCGGGAGTATTTTCTAGCATTCTCGAGGGGCTCATTAGTGCTGCCCTTCGTCCTCCCTTCCACCAGTGCTGGCTTGAGTGTTTTCTTGATCATTATCACCCCAGATCAGCCATTTCATATAGCCAAAGCGTTTTGAAAAGCACTGGTTCCATCAGAAGGAAAGATATTTATGTTGACAGCCATGCATCAAAGGCTTCACACTAGTAAGATACTAGAAATCTGATGCCCACACTGCACACTGTCTCCAGATATCTATATTATGTTCTTTGAAGGAGGAGAAACATTATCCCACATATTTAATCCATTGCAAGATTGCTCGGAATATATTAAAAAAATATTTAATCTCTTTGTCATTAAGCGGGTCACACCTTTGATGGTTGAGTTTTTTCTGTGTGTATATGTTAAGAGTGATGGGGTGAGACAGGAAGTGAAACCTTTGTGGCAGGGCCATCTTTGCTGGTTTATGGACCTTATGGCTCACAAACAATTGGAAAATCTTTAATGAATGAAGTACTTTGTTTGGTGAGCTTCGGAAGAGAGCAACTCTTTTAGCATCCTTATGGGTCACATGGAAAATTTCTCCTAGCTAACTAGATTGTATTTACATCAGAATTGGGAGATTATTAATTTTTGGCCCATAAGTTATATATATTTTTTTATTATACCTTCCCTACTATTTTATTTTATACCTACTCTTTGTTTACAAATTACTTTCTAAACTCTAAAGACTGTAATTTGTCTACAACAACAGACGATTACTAAATAAATAAAAAATCTAAAATATTAGAACATAATGAAAGTATGATACTAAATAAATTAAAAAAATTGATAATTTTTTTTTCTTATTTTATGTTGAGAGCATAAAAACTTTTATTTTTTTTTATTTTTATTTTATTCTATAAGTAAAAAAACTACTAAATAATAAATAACTAAATAAAGGAGCAATAATTGACTTTCTTGTGCTATCAAGAAGGTTGGTATTGCTTTCTTAAAATGTGTCGGTCTCCACTAAGACAAGTTTTATTCATTTGTACTGGAGTTTCAATAGTCACTAGGTCTAGATGAAAGTTGTGAGCATTACGTTTTATAGTTTCTTTTGCTAGCTATAGGTCGAAACACCAGGAGGATGTCTTACCTTGCCTTCATTTTATTTTTCTCCTTTTTTTATTAAAAAAAATCTACCTGCGTTAAGTTAACTTAAAGCATTATACTGTCTTAAGAACATTTTATTCATTAACACCAAATATCCTCTAGCATGCTTGTCACACAATATGTTCTGTTTTCCTATTTTAGTTACATTTATATAAACAGCTTGGTTCAACATATTTTGTATTTCCGGTTATTTCCAATATTACTTGTGCTGGAACTTGAGCTTTTATGATGTGTTATGACTTTTCAGATGATGAAATAATATTTTTAAGTTGTTCTGAAATTATATGGAGTCTATAGCAATCAATGTATTTTGTGATGCTTGATCAATATTTTAGAAAATAGAAGTATATCTATTTATTTTTGAAAATAAGCTAGGGACCATGAAATTATATTTGTTAGATTTATAGGCGTGGGTTGTAAGTGGGTGACGCTCCTTGGCGTTGTCTGATCAATACTACTCACTTTTTTTTTTAAAAAAAAATTTGTAGGCGTGGGCTTTCAGTGACATGATCAATAAACTTGGTAGTTCCTTCTAGCATACCATTATGACTTGCACTCACATCATGATGCACTAGAACTGTCATAACCATTGCCTCACACTGCTCTTACTTAGGTTCCCATTGTTGACTAGGTGTTTTTGGGCTCACATATGTCTGAAAGTGTATTATTTAGTTTCTAATATTTGCATTCATGACATAGAGTATGCAGTTAATGCATCTTGTTTGTAGTTTTTTACAGGTTAATCTTGTTTTTTGTTTTATTTGAGATGGATGTTTAGAACTGATTTGAATGTCACAATAATAATGTCTTATGATGATTGCTGAAAAAGTTTTCTGCTTTTTTGAAGGGTGGGGGACACGAATTTGAACCTCAGAGTTATCATGTTCCTCCTGCGGCTACTGGGTACTCAAGCCCTGGTTCTTCCCCCACCTAAATTTGTTAACTTGGATATTTATTTGATGTTACTAATATATTTTTTCTTTTGCTGCCTCAGATACTTGAATATGAACAGTGGTTTGGAAGCCAAAATTCCAAGCAATATGGGAGCTGGAGGTACCAAAAATCCCAGCATCAGTGAGGTATGCTTTTAACTTTAATTGAAGGGAAGAATCTGCTTTACGGCAAAACCTGTTTTGATTTATTAAACTATACTCTAAAGCCTAAGCTCTAATAAGTTTAAGACTGAAAAACTTAAAAAACTAGTAGGCCTAAACTTCTTGAAGTTTATGTCCTTTTAATTTTAGGAACAAGCACCAAGAAGGAAGCGTAAATGTTACTAACAAGCTCCAGATTTGCTAGAATCCTTGATATATCACCCTTAACTACTCTAGTTATTAAGGAGGAAAGCCAATGAGAAGCCGATGTAGGAGTGGGCCTTTGTGCTTTTGTGAGAGCAAAGTGCATCAAAGATCTCCTTAAGAAAGAATGATCAAGCAACTCCCTGTCACTAGCATATGTAGGGAAGCATTCCAAAACATCCAGTTACAATCTCCAGCCTTATTCTCACCGTACAAGTTTGAGGGAAAAAGCTTTGGCAGTCCGCCTTGGCTCTTTGTGAGTCACAATTTTTTGCTACCCACCATAACTATATGGATGAAACTATTTAGTTGGTTAGATTTGTCAGTCTGTGAAAAAAAAAAAAGAAAACATAGTATTCTGATCTCCTTCCTTGATCTTGATAAAAAACTTAATTGTTGTTTCCAAGCTATCTCATCCATTGATAAAATATTGGCAAGCTCAAGCCAAGCATGACCCTGCTATCGAGGTTTATCAGTCTCTAATATTTGTTCTTCTTTTTTGGTTTTTTCTTCAATGTTTTCAAGGTAAGAAGAGGGTGAAGGTTTCAAGATTTTAGAGAATTATGAAATTTTTGAGATTTCGGGAAGACTGGAGACGTAAATACCTCCTTTAAGGGTATGTTTGGATGCTGGTAAATAGAGGGTAATGGAGGGAAGGTTAGAATATCATTTTACCTTTCTTTTGTTTGGGAGTTAAGTTTTTGGAGAGAAGATAATTTGGGAGTTAGAGTCTATCCCTATATTTCATCTCACTTAATTTATTTAATAGAAAAAGTTTTATGAAGATGAAGGAAGATAAGTACAAAGAGGAGAATAAGACATCCTCCTTATTTTGTCAACCTATAAAATCCAAACAAAATGTAAGTGTACAATCATGTGGGCAGTTGATGAACAAAGATGCTAGTCTCCCGATTTCAATGAATATCTGAAATGGCTATTTCAGAAAAGTGTCCATTTGCCTTGGCCCATAAGGTTGTCAGAAGTCATTCTCTCCCATAGCTCATGGAAGGATGTATGTCTCCAATTGAAGGTTCTTCAGTTCCTTGTAAGCCATAGTGTCCATAAGTGAGAGAAAATGGCTCCTTATTGCGACGGTTTTGCTCCCTTTCTTACCACATCTCTTTTTATGAAGATTTTTCAGTTCCTTGTAAGCTGCAGTGGCCATAAATGAGAGAAAATGGCTCCTCATTGCAGTGGTTTTCGCTCCCTTTCTTACCCCATCTCTTTTTGTGTATGCATATAAGAAGCTCCCAACTATAGGAGTGACCCAATTGAGACGAGCGAAACATTTTTGTCTAAATTTTTGAAGCTATAACACAAGGGAGAAATAAGTGGGAATGAGACTCTTCTCCAATATAGCACATGATATAGGTATTCGGAGATAGAGTGCGGTGAAGATGACAGATTGGTAGCATCTTGTTGGTATTGAATCTTTGATATATGGATTGAAGTAAACACCTCTATCTTTGACGGAACTAACACTTTCTGAAACACTCAGGGCAATGTGAAATTGGTTAAAATTTCGTCTCACTTTATTAATATTATAATTGCTCCAATCACCCTTTTTACTGTCTCACTGGCTAAAGAACTAACTTTTAGCCATTTGATGACAGTAGATCGAGGGCAGAAAAGTAAAAAAAGAACGTCAAGAAGTTTGGATCCGTATTTATTGTTTATGTTGATTAGTTTGTCAAATCTCTTTACTAATGAATTTAGATTGCTGGAATAAGGATGAAGCTCCAAGGTCCTCCATCTGGGGATCTGAATGCATTATTGACATGGAGGACTACTTGAGAATTTAACTGCTTCACAAATATTCTGCAGGCATTCATGGCTTCTGCTGGACAAAACATGAGTGGTCAACTGGGATCGCATCAAAAGCTGAATGCTCCACAGAGCTCCTATCGAAATATGAACCTTCGGCAAAGCCCCTTCCATGCTCCAAAAAGTCTGTACCAGAATGTGAACCCACAGCAAAGTACTTATCATAATAATAGTTCGCTGCAGAGCCCTTATGTGATGGCCACTCAGCAAGGGCCCTCTGCCAACATCAGTACCCAGCAAAGTGCTTACTATAACATCAGTGCACAGCAAGGTGCCTACCAATACTGACTCTGATTTGGGAATTCTTGTACCATATTATTATGTATTGTTTCTTAACTGGTTATTACTATTATTCATTTAAGTTAGCCAGCCAACACTAATGTTAGATATTCTTTAAGCTATCACTTGACTTTTTTTTTGAAAAGGTTGTTAATTCCTGTTGGCATGCGTAGATGCTAAT